ACTTTTTTTAGTATCAAGAAAGGTGTTAACCTGTACTGGCTTGATTGAAAGCTTTGTGAAGTTGAGATTGGACCTCCAGGAGCTTACCATGAATCAGTTTTCTTGGGATTTATTTTCCTTTGTAAAGAAAAACTATAATGTGATAGTTTTTTCTCTAATACTTATTCTGTAATTATTATTACAAAGAAATATAATAGTTTTGAAGCTTGGTGGCAAGTTGTTATTGTTTTTAAACTATGTGTTTCTTAGATATTGGAGGCTGGCTTCTTGGTTTTCAAAAATATTAACAAAAAAAAAATTTTTTAAAAAAATTGGGGATTAATGGAAAAGTTTTTTTTTAAAAAAAAATATAAATTAACAAAATAAGTTTTTTTTTTAATTTTTATATATAATTATTTTAATTTTATATTTAACAAAAAATATATATTCTATTTTCTTACAATTTAAATCTATATTTATTTTCAAATAATTTAAACTATTTAAAAAGTTAAAACTTAACTATATAAACTATTAATTATGAAAAATAAAAGTTTTTTTTAAAAATCAATATTTTTATATAATATATAAAGAAAAAACTATAATTATGAATAAATAAGTTTTTTAAAAAGTTAAAAAATTTTTTTTTCAATAAATAACTCTATTGATAAAATATTTTAAATATAAATATAACTAAGTTTGATCTTAATAAAATAATTTATAATAGTAACTTATAGTAATAGTTGAAAGAATTTTTATCTGAGCTTTTAATAATACAAAAAATTATTTTTAAAATTATATTTGGAATTTTAAAATATTTAACTTTAACAATATATAAAAATATATATATTTTTTATAAATGTTTAATAAAGTATATATAATATAAATAACTAAGTGCTTAAAAAAATTATAATTTCAATAAAAATTCAGATATAAGCACTTTAATGTACTAAACAAATATTTTTTTAAATAGTAATTAAAACTTTAAAAAAATTTTTATCAAGATGTATAAAATCTTTTTCATTACAAATATGATTGTTTCGATTCATACAAATCGATCAATTCCAATTACACATTCATAATAGCATATAAAATATATTTGTACAACGAATAACAACTTCTATTGTAAAAATTACTATAAATAAATAGGTCAATAAAATTAAGAATGTGATGTTAGTAAAATAACAATTAAACTCACACTTGATCAAAGAATTACTAATACTAATGAAATGTAACAATATAGTTAAGAAGATATATTAGTTTTATCTTCATTGGATTTTGGTTCTTCACTTGACGTCATTCTATGCCAAACATAATCTTGTGCAATAGTTTGAACTGCCAATTTTATGGTAGAAACCATTTTAGCTTCTACCCACTCATTTTCATCATATGGGATATCCAACCAGCTTACTGGGAGGGCTTGTGAAAAGGTTTTAAAAGTTAGGTTATGTGTCGGATCGATTAAAACAATAACATAAAATAAATATTGCTCAGAATCCGAGATAGATTCACTTTGATTAGAAGAGATAACATAAGGATTAGCTTTTGTCGGCTGAATCGCCATAAAAACAGGACAGATGGTGGTAGGAACATCTTTCAATATTTCTTGTGATTGTAGCTCCATTTGGATATGGTTTTGATCCAATTCTGAGGGCTTGTAGTGTTTCTTAATGATTTGCTCTATATTGGCCTAAATTTGACATAATGTCAGGCAATGTTTATTATAACCGAAACATTCCAGGTAATCTTACCTTAGCTAGACCAACTGCCTCAGCAAAGCCTTCACAAACATTCAAATTCTTTGATTCTTCTTCTGAATCTCGCTTTTTGGATTCGTTTCCTTTTCGAACAACGATATCACCACCTTCAACTTGGTCCATCACTTTCATAAAAGCTTTATACACAAGCGATTCTACACCAACATAACCAACCATATCATGGGCTAGCCAAACCTCGACAACTTCGTATTGTGAAATTGGAGGAACCACGGCATTTACAACAGTTGTAAGAGTGTTAAGACCGAGAGTTTTAAGATCCGAACCTTAAATTTGAATACGCGAAAAAACATGCAATTAGAAAGATGCCATTTTACGCGAAAAATTCAGGGACCTTTTATTCACCTATTTTTTCGATGGCTTCTTTATTTACCATACCACGAACTTTCTCCTCGAATTTTTTAGTGGCTTCGTTAGTTCGTACTGTTTCAACTGTTGCTAAAGCTCCCTTGACTGAGTTGTCAACTACTGAGCTTGCGGACTTATAAGCTGTAGACGCCGTTTGCAAAAGACCACCCCATGACCAGGCACCTTGTTTTTGTGTTTCAGCTTGCACTTGTTGGTGTTCTGGCTGTTCCGCGATGCGTTCTTGTTTCAATGGAACATTAGTTTGACTGTCTATTTTCATACTAAGTTCGGTAGTAGTTGTCGTTGGAGTGGACTGAGTAATTTGGTCTAGGAAATCTAATACAGATTGCGTGTCGGCTGGTGTCCCTACAGGTGCTACGGAAGCGGGGCTTGTAGCAGGTGTGGCTTGAGAGTATGTGTCAAGTGTTTCGAGAAATTGAAGAACATCCTCTCTAGAATTTGAACTCGGTGGTTTTGTTTCTGTCATGATTAGATATCTTAATATGAGAAACTGCTCAATCGCCCGATTTACGTAGTTACACACGAAATTTCTTCATTTTTAATGCAGTCACGTTCTAATTTTTAAAAAATTTGCGTGTAATGACATTATTAACATGAAAATTTATTACTATATATAGTATTTGTATTTTACTATTATAAAAAGTTGGTGCTTTTTTTTTTTGATCTTCTAAGCCATAAATAAATAAATACTAATATTCATCAATACTTTATTTTCAACCCACAGTCAGGTCAACATGGCATGTCTTTATTATATATAGTATGCTACAAAACTTTTTAAAAATTTTTACTCAAAAATTGTTGCATATAAATTAATAAAAAATATATTAAAATAAAGCTTAAAATCTAGAGATTTTATTAATATATAGTATATCTCATAATTTTTATATTAATTACTCAATAACTGCTGAATCAATTACAATAAATGATGATTTGTTTGAAAGATAAGAACTCTAAATTTATTTTATAAAAATTTTAATAGTTAATATAGTTATCATTTTTTTTTATTATCTCCTTGCATCCCTTTTTCATTGAATTAACTAAATTTTTTAAAGTATAATTAGGAATTAGATTTTATTCTTCTTTTATAAATATTTCTAGTTCCTTTAAATTTCATGGCATCCATTTTTTGACATTTTTTTTTATTATGCTTCATAAGTTTTCGACCAGATTTAAATCTGGACTATTGAATGGTCAATTGATAACTTTGAATATATTTGAATTAAAGTAGGACTTTATGAGATGACTTTATGTTTCAGGTTATTGTTCTGTTGAAATCATCATTTTCTCTTTAGTAAGATCTTGATGTTAGTTATATTTTTTCTTAAGTTGTCAATTTAAACTTTAACCATCATTATTTCTTTAAAGCAATATAGCTTACTCTTATTCTTCTTACAAAATCTATTCCATATTAATATTTTTCTTCTATCTTTAGAAATCTGACAAACTAATTGTGTATCTTTATGTCACTGATCAATAAGAATCGCAACAGATCAAATCAAATCAGATTTTAGGTTAATCCGATCTGAATCTGAATGAATTTATTTTTATATGATTTGTATCCATTCGATTAATCTAATATTTTTTTAATCATGTTTTTTTTTTTTTTTTTTTAAATTAATTTATTTATTCATTTTTCTTTACTTAATGTTTACTTGCCATCTTTAAGTTTTATATATAAACATTTAGTTAATAATTTACATTTTTAATATTTATAA